AACATCCGTATCAGAATGAGTACAACAGTAGAAAATGGAGGCGATAATGCTCCAAAGAAGAAAACGATTGAAGGCATATATCAAAAAAAGTCTCAGTTGGAGCATATTTTACTACGTCCTGATACTTATATTGGTTCTGTCGAACCAATAACAGAATTGATGTGGGTTTATGACAAAGAGAAAGAATCAATGGTCCAGAGAGAAATAAAATATGTTCCTGGTCTCTATAAAATATTTGATGAGATTTTAGTAAATGCTGCTGATAATAAACAAAGAGATCCCAAAATGGATACAATTAAAATTGAGTTAGACCAGTACGTATTAAATACATAATTAATATATATTGTTTAATGTGTGGGGAATAAAAAGTGCACTATGTAATTCTAACATTGGTAATAAATATGTTTAATTTACAGAGAAAACAATCTCATATCCATATGGAATAATGGTAAGGGTATCCCAGTGGTAGTTCATAAAGAAGAAAACATGTATGTTCCTACAATGATATTTGGACATTTGTTAACATCATCTAACTATGATGATGAAGAAGAAAAAGTAACTGGAGGTAGAAACGGCTATGGTGCCAAATTGTGTAATATTTTCAGTCATCGTTTTACTGTAGAAACGGCATCGAAAGAATACAAGAGATGTTTAAAACAGGTCATTATTTTATAGATACTTTCAGTTTGCTTTATATTTGATATATGTATATAATATGCGTATATTTGTAGACATGGAGTAATAACATGGGATTTGCAAGTGAACCAAGAATTAAAGAATTTGCTGGAGAAGATTTTACAAAAGTTATATTTTCACCAGACTTAACAAAATTTAAAATGAATTCTCTAGATGATGACATAGTTGCTCTTATGTCTCGAAGAGCTTATGATATAGCTGCCTCTACTAGAGGTGTTAAGGTATTTCTCAATGGGACAAGAATAGCTGTAAAAAGTTTTAAAGATTATGTTGATTTGTATATTAAAGGCAAAGAAGATGATATTGGTAATCCTTTAAAAATTGTGTATGAAAATTGTAGTCCTCGTTGGGAAGTGGCTATTGCCTTATCTGACAAGGGTTTCCAGCAAATGTCCTTTGTAAACAGTATTGCAACTACTAAGGTATTTATTGAAAAGATAAACTAAAAGCTTTCATAACATTCTACAGAAAAATTATTTCTTATTGCTTTTTTCTATAAAATAGGGTGGGCGGCATGTAGATCATGTTACAGAATTGATAGTGAAACAGTTAACAGAGACATTAAAGAAGAAGAACAAGGCAGGAGTTGCAATCAAACCATTTCAAATAAAAAATCATTTATGGATTTTTATCAATTGTCTCATTAACAATCCTACATTTGATTCACAAACTAAGGAAAACATGACATCACAGCCTAAAAATTTTGGGTCAAAATGCACACTTAGTGATAAATTTATAACCGGGGTATATATTAACTACAATATTCCTGATACTGCATTCATAAATATTTGGATTAACTTATATGTATAATTCTCATTTCTATATAGGTAACAAAGATGGGTATTGTTGAAGCAGTTCTAACTTGGGCAAAATTTAAGGCTGATAGTCAACTTCAAAAATTAGGACCTAAATCAAAGCAAAGAAAATTACAAGGTAAATTCAATAGTATATAAATAAAATATTGTTAGATATAATATATAACAATTTTGCATAATTGGTATAGAAACAATAATTAATGTAATTTCACATTTCAGGAATACCAAAATTAGAAGATGCTAATGATGCTGGTACTGGTAGGTCGCTGGAGTGTACACTTATTTTAACTGAGGGAGATTCAGCTAAAACCATGGCTGTATCTGGGTTATCTGCCATAGGTAGAGACAGATATGGTATATTTCCACTAAGAGGTAAATACTAATAAAATGTAATAATATTGATAGTTATACCATACATTGGATTGTACATGTTGTAATTAGTAAAATTGATTTTCAGGTAAAATTTTAAATGTAAGAGAAGCTACACATAAGCAGATTTTGGAAAATGCGGAAATCAATAACTTAATAAAAATTCTCGGTCTTCAATATAAAAAGAAATATGAAACCCGAGATGATTTAAAAACATTACGTTATGGCAAGCTGATGATAATGACAGATCAGGATCAGGTTAATTATTAGTAAATTTAATTTTCTGTAAGTATGTTATAACACATAATAATTGTTATTTGTATGTGTATAGGATGGTTCCCATATCAAAGGCTTATTAATTAATTTTATTCATCACAATTGGCCGTCACTATTAAAGCTGAACTTTGTGGAAGAATTTATTACACCCATTGTAAAAGCGTCAAAAGGGAGTGAAGTATTAAGTTTCTTCTCATTACCAGAATTTCAAAAATGGAAGACAGAAACACATAATTTTCATACTTACAAAATCAAGTACTACAAAGGTTTTTAATTTTTCATATTTCGCAAATGTTTTTATCATGAATATTTATTTGAATAATACTACAGTCATTTGTTTTCCATATAGGTTTGGGTACTTCCACTGCTAAAGAAGCAAAGGAGTACTTTCAAAATATGTCTAGGCACAGAATTCTATTCAAATATAAGGGAGAACAAGATGATCAGAATATTATTATGGCTTTCAGTAAAAAATGTGCTGACCAGCGTAAGGACTGGTTAACGAATCATATGGATGAAACAAAGAGGAGAAAAGAAATTGGGCTTGGAGAGCGTTATCTTTATGAAAAGGATACACGTGCTGTGACATATTCCGATTTTATTAATGTTGAATTGGTTTTATACAGTAACTACGATAATGTACGTTCTATACCTAATATGATCGATGGCTTTAAACCTGGACAAAGGAAAGTTTTGTATACATGTTTAAAACGTAATGATAAACGTGAAGTGAAAGTTGCTCAGTTAGCTGGCTCTGTAGCTGAACATTCAGCGTATCATCACGGTGAAATGTCACTCATGGCAACAATTATTAACCTTGCCCAAAATTTTGTGGGAAGTAATAATATTAACTTACTCCAGCCCATTGGTCAGTTTGGTACACGACTTACAGGAGGCAAAGATGCAGCGAGCCCACGTTATATTTTCACAATGCTTAGGTATATATGTTCTTCTTCTGAGACAGTTACAAGTTTAAGGAGACAGTTAATTTTTTACTTCGTCTTATAATTATAGTCCGTTGGCAAGATTTATATTTCACAAGCATGATGATGCTTTGCTGAAACATGAATATGATGATAATCAAAAAATTGAGCCTATTCACTATGTGCCAACTATACCGATGGTGTTGGTAAATGGAGCTGATGGTATCGGTACTGGTTGGATGACAAAGATACCTAACTATAATCCTAGAGAGATCATTGAAAATTTGTTTAGAATGATGGATGGTGGTGATCCAAAACCAATGGTGATATATACTTTTACTCTTATACTTTTACTTTTACTTGTTTTTTGATGTATTTTCATATTATCCAGATACCATATTACAAAAACTTTAAAGGAGTAATAGAAAGTTGTGGAGACTATAGATATGTCATTAATGGAGAAATTTCGGTAATTGGACCAGATAAAGTTGAAATTACTGAACTTCCAGTTGGTACTTGGACACAGGCATATAAAGAAACCGTTTTGGAACCAATGTTGCATGGAACTGATAAAATACCAGCTGTTATTTCGTAAATATTATTGACATTGCCACAAAGATTACAAAAGTAGATAAATTCAAAATATTTGTTTAATTATTACTTTTCAAATAATGTTTTAGAGATTACAAGGAGTACAATACAGATACATCAGTACATTTTGTAGTTATTTTAAACCGTGACAAATTAGTGGAACTGGAAAAGGATGGTCTTCACAAAGCTTTCAAATTGCAGACAACGATGGCAATTACATCTATGGTAACTAACAAGAAATGGTATTTTTGATATACGATAAAAATCAAAATACTTTTAATTCTACAATATGTTAATTTCTATCCAGTGTGCATTTGACCATAATCAATGTCTCCAAAAGTATGATAGCGTTGTACAAATTCTTAAAACCTTTTATAATCTACGAATGGAGATGTACCATAAAAGAAAAGATTATTTAGAAGGTATCTTGGATGCGGAGGCGTCTAAACTTTCGAATCAAGCCCGATTTATTTTAGAAAAATGTGACGGTACTATTGTAATCGAAAATAAAAAGAAAAAAGATATGATAGCCGAGTTAGTTAAACGAAACTATCAGTCAGATCCAGTAATGGCTTGGAAACTATCACAAAATAGAGAAGAAGCATTGGTACGTATTATAAACATATTTATTTTGAGGAAGTATATTGTAATTTATGAAAATTCAATTGTTATGCCACGTTAGGAAAATCAAGTAAGTGGTAGAAGAAAGGGACTTTAATTGCAAAATTGTCTCTATAGTGGGACTCCGTTTATATGAACTCCATTTATATGAACAAAATTTTAGCAGTGCATAATCAGTGGTGGGAGACAAGTGGACTCCTATTATATGAACGATCTGATTATGTGATTCAACTTGTCTCCCAACAGATTCATATAAATCGAGTTCTATTCTTCTGTATTGAAATGTGTGCTTTTATACATAACTGAATGCAATGTGTTATTAGGAAGAGGTAGCTGAAAACATCGAAGATGAATCAGCCCCAACACCTACTGCTTTAGCAAGTGAAAATTTTGATTATCTACTTGGAATGACATTGTGGAGTTTGACAAAAGAAAGGAAAGATGATTTGTTGCGGCAGAGAGATGAGAAAATAGCAGAATTAAAGAGACTGCAAAGTCGAACGCCTGTATCTTTATGGAAAGAGGATTTAGAAAATTTGTTAAACGAATTGAACAAAGTAAGTACATTACTCAATCATTAAAAATTTTACAAATGAGTTTTACTTCTACATGTTACACTTTATTAGATTGAAGAGAAAGAGCGTAAAGAAGAACAGAAGTTGTCTAAAACCATTAAGAAACCACCAAACAAGTTCTATTCTCCAGATACCATCCGACGAGTAGTTCCTGTAATCGATATTGAATTAAAGAAAAAAATTGAAAAAGCTGACATTATGTCTAAAGACAAAAAGGAAGGAATTAAAAAACCAAAGGTAAATTTAATGAAGTATCTACAACATATGCAATTAAATTGTCTTTATCCTATGTTTTAATTTCTAAATTTAATATTATGTTAGATAAAGAAAGAATCTACAGAGGAGAAAGATGAATTTGATGCTATGATTGATGCAAATGCAAAATCATTGGATGACAGAGTGGGTAGTACAGAAAAGAAAGCAGGAGGCAAGAAAGGTGATTATACATGTTTGATTAAATGAAAGTAGATAGGTTTCGGGAAATTTATTAAATATTTTTATTTTCTTCATAATTAGCATTGAAACAAACAACATTACCTTTTAAAGCAAAAGTGAAAAAAGAAAAATCTGACAAAAAAAGAGACAAAGACTCTGATAGTAATGATGACATTGATTTTGGTAGTATTTCTCCTCCTCCAGAGCCTCGAAAAACATCCCGTAGAACTACAGGTATCGACTTTTATATTTATTCATAGAGTAAATGGAATGTGTATACATTTGTCATACTTTGGTGTCAGTGAAACAGTGCATATCTGTGTATGTAATTACTTATTTTTGTTGAACTTTCTGTATGTTATAGCTAAAAAGAACTATAATTTCGATGAAGAATTGTCATCTGACAGTGAACCTGGACACCTCAATGTTCCTTCAGATTCTGAACAGTGAGTAACATTCACAAGTGCATATATACATCCGTAAATATTAGATATTTTGATAATTTGTCGCTGTTTTTATTTCAGAAAAATGAAGCCTCCCGCGATTGTAGATAGTGATTCAGATGACAGTTTTAAAATAGATAGAAAAGCATTACCGTCACAACGTAAGTACAAACATCAATTCGAAGTGTATTAGCTATTGTACTACCTACGCATATATTTTTTAAGAACTATTTTTATTTTGTTTATAACAGCAAGCTCAGAGGAATTATTCGATTCTTTAATTGGTAATTCTTCTCGCGAAAAACAAAAAAATATTGCATCATCTAGTGAAGAATCAATGTTTTCATCACCACAGAAAGGTTAGATTCACTGTTCAACAAATTTTAACTTCTTTTGGATTTTGTAATATCCGATAACGTACAAATATTAATAAAAATAATATATTACGTGAAAGCTAAAAACGTTATAAAGGTCTAATTGGTCTTGAATGTGTTAGTATCGACATTTATAATATTTTATGCTTCTAAGTAGTGCTAAACGACCGTCAAAGTTCAAAAATGCTAATATGTACTCATCTTCTCGACCTGTACAAATATGAAACCGCTTTGACACTTTTTATCCACAGTTTGTTCTTCAAAAATGTCTACAGAATCAAATAATCAGATTAGTAAATATGCAAATATATTACGTAGAAAATACGTCCTTCGGCAATTTTTTAAACTTGGACGGTCGTTTAACTGTACTTAGAAGCATAAAATATTATAAATGTCGATACTGACACATTCAAGAATCTCTTCTCTATCTTTCAAAACCAATTAGACCATCATAAAGTTTTTAGTTCTCATTTTTGTTCAAAATTAGACGTCGAATTTTTTGAAAACTAAGGGTGATACAACAATTTCGTTTCCGATTTGTATTTGGGAAGTAACACTTTACAAGGATCATCCATCGAATATTACAAAATCCAGAAGAAGTTAAAATCGTGTTAAACAGTGTTATATATTATCAATGTGCGATTTATTTGTATAATGTAATATATTTACGTTATATTATTCATATTTTAGCACTAAAGAAAAAGACTGAAAACGGAAGTGGGAAAGGTGTGAAAAGACAATTCAAAACAAAAATGGGTTCCTCTGAATCAGAATCAGAGGATGCTGCGGTTTCCAATAAACAACCAAAAATTGTATCAATTATATCTTCTAGTGAAGATTCATTTTCGACGTTCTCACCTCCTGCAAAAGGTAAGGATTCCGTTTAGATTATAATAACAATTATATTATTTCCTTATGTCGTTACTTGAAAATTTATGTATTTACATGTTAGCACCTGCCAAAAAGAAAACAGAAAATGGTGGAGGGAAAGGCGTGAAAAGGCAGTTAAAGAAAAAAATACTTGATTCAGATTCAGATTCAGAAGATTTTGCGTTCACCAGTAAACAAAATGTAAGTATTTCAATGAATGGATTAATTTAGTAGTTTTTATGACTTTAGATGTTCCTTGTTTGAAAATAATATGACTTATTGTATAAATAGTATATAATATATATATATATTTTTTTTTTAAAATTGGAAGATAAAAGAACATGCGCAACGGTATAGTGTTCGCCTGTGCAGATGTTGGAGACTTTCTGACATATTTCGAGTACCGCTGAGAGTCTTGAGTCTTTTTTTCTCATAAATCATACTTTGACTTTTAACTCATTATTACACGAGATTGTCGCCGTATTACAGAAATATTTTTTAATGTTTTACCAACATTTTACGTGGGAGTACATATAAAAAAATTATGGCTGGCCTTCTTTATTTATTATATTTCAAATATGCATAGCAACATTACTGTAAAAATACTTATCGTTATAAACTTTAATAGGAGAAGGAGGATTGGTTCAAGTTCATACTAGATTCCTTATTTTTATTATATAATATAATATTTATAGAAAGATGTTAAAAGCCCGATATTTGTTCACTGTTACTTATATTCAATTAGCTCAACATACCTAGATTGTGAGAGGAAGCTTAAAAAAAATAGTTTTTCAGGACAGAGGTCTTTTCAACTATGTTTCCTTTCATTACTAAAAATAAAACATGCGAAAACTAAATTTATTTTTGCATATGTGTTAACTTAAAATATTTTTGAAACATTTATACAATATTTTTTAAGACATGTGAGAACATCATGTAGTAGGAAATTGAAAGTAGTGTGATTTATCAAGAAAAAAAACATTATCTCTGCAGGGTTCAGACCATGTTTTGACATGCTTCCAACGTCTTCACAGTCTGACACTGTACTGCTGCGTCAATCAGTGATGTTAGAAGCGTTACAACGATTTAGTATATAGCATATATACAACAATTTTTGTTTCATTTTGAATTTCATTTTTCTGTTCATACATTACTTCTCTAAATATAGAAACCTTCAAAATTACATAATATACGTATTAAATGACAAAATATACAAGCATAACTTACAATTAGTGTCTTGTGATAAAATATCGAAAATTGGTGATGTATCTGGCTAGATAAAATATTCCTGAGTTATTTTATAACTTTCCATTAAGCAAGAAGAAGAAATAGAGTTTTTTTATGAATGTGGTATAAAGAAAAATCGATTTGGTTTAGGGCACATTTAATCAGCTTATGGAGCTGTACTCTTGAAGCTCGGTTAGAACTGATAAATTTAAATATAAATCGTTATACGTATTTTAGAAAGTTCTATTAAAAGATGAATGTAACGAATGTTTCTTCATTAAAAAGAAAATGCATCTTTTTCTATTGCCTAGAGCAGTTGAGTTACTTAGGAGAGCCAGTTAGATTGTATTAACTTTGTATAATTATCTTCATAATCCTCATCCAATGGTGCAGGTAAAAAAGAAGAAGAAGAAAACAGATGCACCACAAGACAGTAGTGCCACAGAAACGTCACCACATCCACCAGCAAGATCCGGAGGAGGCCGTGTTCGTAAACTTATTTCATATGCTGTAAAATCAGACGATGATGATGATTCCAATTGAACAACTTCATTCAAGCAAATGTTCAGTTGAAACATTATTCAAATTGTTATTAACAAACTTTGTGATCGTATTTGATATAAATTTTAAGAAAATTTTGCCTTGGTTCTTATCAGGGCATTAGTAATTTTATATAACACTGTACATATATGCACTAGAAATTAACTTTCATTATTGTAATGATTAAGTGTAAGGTAAACGTTTCATTTCGTGTACATGCAATAAGTGTTTTCAGAACACATAAAACTAATTATATTTGGATCGAAGAAAGAATTGATGTAATCAATAAAAATGTTTTACGAATGACTATCATTCGTAAATTGGTCCATAAACATCCATGACGTCTCGTATAATGTGGTGATGGCAATAGAAAATTATTTATGTATTTTAATTGAACAGAAAATTTATTTAGAATTATAATATTGTAAGATTCATTCGACACTGTTATGTTTCTGTAATTAAATCAAAACCAACTTAACTTCATGTAGTTCTGATAATCTTTCTATCATATTTGAACTTGCCATTTATTTTCCATATCGAGATAAGAAGAGAATACAACACTTCTAAAAATGAATAACAAGAAACTTTAAAATCGATCTGTTCTTCGGTGTAACTATAATCATGATACAATTATCATTTTTTAATTAATAGTATTAATTGATACAAGATGTATTCTGGCAAATATTAGATGTTCTATGTAGATCTAGTAACTATGCGTAGAAATTTGTCTGTACAATTTTTTATTTATCTCTAGTTTTTTATCTTTGTAATTTTGTAGATGTAATGATAACAAACTATGTGGTTTCGTCAGGAATTGAATACTACGCGATATTAAACTGCATTGTGTATATTTTTTTACATATTCAATGACAACTTTAGTTCACCA